CACTTTTCTTGTCTTTTTGCAATAACTTTTTTGTTTATTAACCGATTTTAATTTAACCAGTCTCATTTTGTAGATAATTTTACTCCCTATAAGCTGTCTGAGAGTCACTTTTCGCTAAAATTGATGGTTTTCCCTGCAAAGTGAAAAAACTGTTTTCCTCACTTATTTGTTTAAATAGAAAAGTTAGCTATTAAAATTTTTTGACTCACAAGATGAGAGATGTGTTGTATTATGTTCCTTTGGACAATTTTACAATAATTTACATATCTTATATGCAATTAAGATCATTTTTAATGAAATACCAATTTTGCCAAACTTTAGTGGTGGATTCTACGTCAAAATTCAATAAAAAAATTCTTATAAACATATGTCCAGAAGCACTTCATTTTCGAGATATTATTATTTCAATGTTTCTTAAGATGCCCAACGTACGTAGATAATCCTGTGCAACAGCGTCACTGTGTAGAATTGGTGAGCACCGTGACCAAACTTGGAGATACCAAAAACATATACTTTTAACTCAATTTTTACAACTTCGTTCTCAACGATGATACTAAAGTAGAAACTGTGAAATAATTTAAGGGAAGGACAACCAACTGCAAATTCGAGTTATCATTCCGACAGGATTTGGACTTCAAACCGGGGAAAAACGCATATCAGCGGCATTCGTCCGGACCATCCGCTTTCATTACAAAAAGAGCATAACTGTCATGCGAGATTGATAGCGCACGTTATCGGAGCCCTTTATTCTTGTTTACACGATAATCCGCGCGTTGAGCCAGAATAAACAGTCATTGTCGTTTTTCGCGCCTGCTTCACGTTCCTTATCACTCGAACTAAGCAACAGATAATCTCGTTCTTTTCATGCGAATATCCCGACGCGAATATGTGAGCGTATGGCCTTTCAGTGGTTTCTTATCGTTCTTTTTCCGGGACTTGCCACCCCTATCGAGACCGAAAGGACTGTTCAGTGTTTCGCCTAGCGTAAACACATACCTAAATATGAAGCAAAACCCTTTCAGGCCCGGCCGGAACTTGGGGGTTACCTGCGTCGGGCGGAAATAGCCACCCTGATAAATGAAGAGGGTTGGGGGTTCCGCTTTCTTTTTATTTGCCAAGAAAATTGCAAAATGTGAGGTTACCTACACTGGCAAAACGGCTTTGCTCCGATAACGCAAAGTCGCCTGCATGGTGTGCCTAACTGTAAACAAATAGTTCATTGCAATCAAATAATGATCTTGAAGCTATGAGCGAAGTAGCTTAACTCGAAATAAAAGTAAAAAGTCAGTCCTACGGCATTACTAATGACAGCCAGAGACAATTTGAAACGCTTGAGATGCTTTGACATCATGTGAGCAAAACAGCGATAGAAATAAAATTTTCACTAAACTTTCGAATTTCTATGCCGATTCACAGAAACGTTCACAACAGCCATCGAGAGTTCGAGAAACCTGAACAGCACCGATCACCAATCGACCGACAGTAGCAGAATCTGTGATTACAAAGATCAAAAGCCTACCAAACAGATAGAGCTTGTCCAGCTCTCAAAGCTATATCCAAACCTAAACACTGTAATGTTTACGAGTAAACACCACAAAGGATTTATTTAAATTTTATTTATTTGCAAATCCCTCAAATAAATAATATATTTATTACCTAATACAGGCTAAGAAAAATGGTGGATGTATTGATGCAGCTGTGGAAATCATTGTTATAAATTAAAAACATAATAAAAATGAAAGAATATTGAAAAAAATAAGACCTAAATATTTCCATAAAATTGAGTTTCAATTTGTGTAGTATTCCCCTCATATTCTCCATAGTGACCACTATATTATAGTATAAACTCGAATATCCACACCTCGATGATCTGTATCTCTCTATTATCCGATTATGGCGGCATCAAAAAAACAACACTGGCTAGGTATTAATTTTTTTTTTGTTTTAATGGTACAGTTGAGAGTCAGCGCGACAGATGGAGCCATTTGCACTCCGCTTACAATGTACATCTTTGTCGTGATGATTCGGCCGCATAACGTTCGTCGGTTGTCTCACCTATGACACACTGATGAGGACTAATAAGTCCGAAACCGGTCTGTGCCTGATGGGTTAAACTGACGAACGATCGTAGCTGTTGCACTAGGTGTTGCGAATATAATTAGTGATGGGCGATACCGTGATTTTTCAATCACGTAGTGAATCGTTATTGTGATTTTTTGATATCAGTGATCACGACTTTTGAGTTACAAGCCAGCATAAGGTTGGTACTGTTGGTAGTTAATATATTATTATGGTGATTGGTGATATACGAAATTCGACTTTACAGCATCGACATGGTCAATAAGGCGCTTGGGACACGCGACACATGATATTTTTAATGATGTTAAACAAAATTCGCCCTTGAAGCAGTATAGTTAGTCTGCTAAATAAGAAAACAGGAGTAAAGTAAACTGTGATCACGTCAGGTTTTTATTTGCAATTGAGGAACTAGGTATTAATTCGTTTATAATCTTCATCATCAGCACGCCATCTGTAAGCCGTAGTTTGAAGCTTAACATATTAGCTTGCAAACTAACTACTATTAGTGAGATATAAGCTGTGTTGCTCGGTGAGTAGTAATTGCTATTGAAATAACAGTAATTGATATAAATCCTACACTCTGTCAGACACAGATAAAAATTTACGATTTTATTAAAGCTTGATAAAATTTTAGATACGTTTCTCAGTGTATTTGGAAGGCGCTAGAAGGCACCATACTTCCGTTAGGGGATCAAAATAAAACATGCCTTTTTAAGCAGCAGAGATTTTAATAATTACAACGTCATGGCCATATACACCAACTGTGCATTGACGACCTGAAATACCGAATCCGGTAAAAATTGATTCGATTTAAATTTCTAATTCAAATTTTCCGCATAATGCAACACAATATGAGTCGGAGCGTGCCTTATTGTCAATTTTTATTCGCATTTAGAAGGGATGGAGACAAAATGGGAAAAATAAACATCGGAATTTCCATCTATTAGGCTTAAAGTATGCCGTTTGTAGAAGAACGGATCTAAATGCTCAGTCGGATGCTCAATGCATGCATTTTCTTTATATAAAACTGTTTTGGAGACAAATGTACAAAATGTGTGTGTTTCCTTCCATAGAGAATATTTACATTTTAAGCGATTTCTCTTCGAACATTGTACGGGTATGTATGCTCTGAATGTCACTTTGCAGGTTTGTGTCACATTAAAATCATAACATGTTTATCCATTCATGAACAACGTTAGTCCGGGTCATTATTATTACCATTAAAATTACAGAAAACAATTTGAGTATTGAAAATTGAAATTAAATCAAAATACCAGCTCATAACTACATTACTACAAATTGTCAGAATATAGATACCTAATAAAATATACCGCCAATGTTCTACCCTTCAAGTAATTTGAGATGGAGAAACGTCTTTATCATGTAGATGTAATATTTTATGGATTCCAAATTAACTTCCGACACTCTGAAATACATCGAATTCAACTGAAACCTTTTCAGTGAATAATTTTCGTTTCAATTTTGTATATAATAGGTTTCAAAAGTGTTACTCGACTGAATATTGCTTTTCCTTTATCTACACACATAATATTTCTATTTGGAAAAGTTATTATGCTTTATTTGATGAAGATAGGCACTTACATTTTTTTTTGTTCCAGATGACCGGAGAAATGACGGGATCGCATTTTCTTCCATTAGTTCTCCTGTAGTTACCATAACTAGGTGAGTAATTATTTTTATTGATGTCGTTGGGTAATATCAATACTTTTTTAATGTTCTGAAAGCGTTTCTCTGTAACCAGCTGAAAATGTATATTTTTTAATTTCTTTATTTACTACTTGGAAAGCACTCAGACGCCGGGCAAAGGCTCATTAATAATTTTACACAAAAATTTCCATTCCCTGATTTCCATTACATTATTTACCTTATAAGAGACTTCAAATATTTATTATATTTTAAACTTTTTGACTCCTAAATTGTTATTTATAATGGTTCATGTTAATTTATTTAAATATAAACCATTAAAATTACTTTTAACCTTCCGTGATTTTATTATTTAACCAAATATAGTTCTTATTTATTTACTAGGTATAAATATAAAACAATTCAATATGGTCTAAGAAGAAATATAAGGATCGGTGAGATATAACCTACAAAATATTGTATAACATATTTTAACTCAATGTAGGTTATAACTCACCCACAATCAATTTCTGAGAATTAATATGGCCTGACACATAAAATGTTATTTTTGAGACCATATAAAAAACATTCCTTTAATATTTCATTACTGGGATTGAGATAGGCTTCAATTGTAACAATAGTTACAATAATCGTATTGAATCTTATGATATATAAATTTAATATAATTTAGCTACATGGAATAAGAATTAAAGAACATAGATTTAGCTAGTATTGGAGTTTGTTATAATTAACATCACTGGTTATAATACTACACAACTTTTTTGCCTAGCGGTTTGAGTTTTTAAACATATTTTTTTTTTATTTTCAAAAGTTCTCACTTAGGTATGAATTACGTGCTACCTCTGAGTAAACTGATGAAATAAAGAATTTGATCCGTATTAAAAGTTTGAAATTTTGTCATAAAAAATATGTCTTAAATTTCAGGTACCTATGTAAGGTTAAAAAAAACTGTATTCTTTGAACAATACTGAAAAAATCTATCAAAATGAGTTTAAACTAGAAAACAATCAGCTAAATTATTTATATAAACAAGTATTTTTATATCGTCGATATACATTAAAAATTTACTGTGTCGAGAACATGAGCACCTACATGTCATTGAGGTAGACAACAAAAAGCAGTGACCTTAATTAGGAACCTTGAGGCACGCTACAAGTAGTTTCATAAGGAGCAGGATGAAAGCCATTATGATACAATTTGTGACCTATTTATTGACTAGGCAGGACGAAAACTAACCACTAATTTAGCAATGAGTGTTTTGTGGTTCAAAGTTTACAAACATCGGTGTACATGGAATATTTGTCAGATATGCATTATGTATTTAGAGTATTTTATCTTTGTTCTAATTGTAATACTAGGTAAACATATGTGTTCTTCTTCAAGCATACCGCGTTTTACTTTACTAAGAAGATTGTACACTACTTGAAAAAACTGAAATTATATAGACTGGCTTCCATAAATTCGGAAAAAAACACATCACAAGACTTATCAACTGTAATAGTAATATCAGGTGCCATTTTGCTAAATTTAACATTTTCGCTATACTGAGAAATATGAAATAAGTTATAACTACTGTCAAGTGACAGCTCCACTGTAAAAAAATTTCACTCTAATTTCACTCAAATTCACTCAGTTTTATTCAATAATGTATCAGTTTCTGTCCACACCCGATTGACAACTGATGAAACTATTGCATCAGAAATGAGTGAGTTTTACTCAAATCCCAGTTACTATCAATTGAGTGACTCTATTCTGAGTATATAAAACCAATTTAGAGTTGACTTTTTCTCTGATATGATTTAAATTTAACTATTATTGAATAATTCTTTACTCAGACTTGGTTTATATTCTCTTTAAATTTAAATATTGTATTAAAGTCATAAACTGCTAAACTACCACAGTGGTTTCTACACAGATCTGTTTCAGAAACAATATTTTAGGTCTCGATTAAAGAAATTGGTTAATTGATCGGACGAATAGATTGTCACTACCTATATTGTAATATATTGTTTTAAATTATTTTAATTAAATCACTGCATTTAAATACAATTTTCACTAGAATAACCAGATAAACCGAAACTCCAAAGCACACCATACGCCATACTGCCATCCACCACGCCACGGTCACGAAATAACCTAATGGGACGATGGGAACAGACAAAGACAATGCATCTGGATATGAAAAAGGGTGGGATCACTCAGTAATGATTTAGGAACAAGTGCACCAAATACGAGTTTACGTGAAGAATTTATTTAAAAAGTACCTATATTTGAGTGAAAGTACTCAGTTTTAGTTTAAATATAATCATAAATGAGTAAAAATGATCAAAATGCCCAATATTGAGTGAAAATGTACTGAATAATTTCACTCAATGGATACACTCTAAACTTTTATTTCTTTCACTCACACCGATTTTTTTACAGTGTAGCTATAATTTTTTAAACTCGCCATCTCCACCTACATAATTCATTAAATAAAACTATCTTTTCTCAGTGTAGATTTATGATCTTAAGCAAAGAATAATTGTTATACTTATTTTGGCTGAATAATGTTGGCACAGTTTAATTGACAATGACTTTCCGTTTACGAATACTGTTGTATGTACACGTCATGCATAGGAACGTGTAGAATAGAATGACACCTAACCGAATCCACAATTCCTGTAAATCCTAGGCAGAAATGAAGTCACATGCGCGCCGAAAAAAGAGTAAATTACATTATCCGGACAAAAAGTCGCGCTCCCGGGTAAATGGCCGAACAGCAATTCCGAATGACGGCAAAATGAAAAGAAATGAAACCGAAGTTTCGCCTAGTTCCACCCAAACATACGTTGTCCTTATCTCCCGACAATGGCGTTCGTTATTACCTTGTTTACTCCCCAGCATTGTCCCAGTTAAAGTTTTGCTTTAAATGAATGAATGCTTTAATGTGACTGCCTGTTTGCTGGGGAATTTATTTACTCAAAACTATCTCTTCGGGAAAACATGTAAACAAATACTACATAAGAGGCAGTGTTGCAATAAATGTTTGCGATTTCCTCTGCATTTATACGTACAGTGTGTTTACGGATTACTGCCCGGAGAGAAAAAACCTTTTTATTTTTGATTTATTTTACTCTCAACAATATCGCATCGACGTGGAAGAAAATAGGTTTTGATATACAGTGTGTTGATAAAAACAGAAGCAAAATAATTCGATTTTTAATTTTTCAAAAATGATAATAATAAATTGTTTCCAATTAAAAAATACAAAAAAATACCGGGGTATGAAGTTGGCAGCCAATAGTTGGCAGCTAAATTTTGTTTCAAATAACCTAAATAAAAATCTATAATAGTCAAATCGGGACTTCGAAGTGACCAGGGATTAGAACTATGTTACTGTCAAAAGTATTGTGTAACTAATTACAAATCAAGGGAGTTGAATTGGAGGGGCTACACATGTTAAAAATAAACTTATGTCCTTTCACCAAATTCAAAATGTATTTTTAATATAATGCACTTCTCATTTATTATAGATCTCTACTTGTGGAAGTATTTTACCCAATAAGTGTATCAATGAAGGTGCTGATTTTGGAAATAATGTGGAATTATTGAAAAATCATAGTTTAATACAGTAAATATTGTCACGTTTCCCGTTTAAAATACTAAAATAACTGGTAAAAAAAGATATTATTATTACTTCGGGCTACTCGCTTGGCTGCTGAGAGGGAAAAACAAACAAATCAATCAATTTTTACTGTTTATTATAAAATAACATACTTACACTCAAAGAGGTTGCTTATCAAGTCCTGGCCATTAACTGGCTCTCAAGGTGGCTCAGGACTGGCCCCGATTCACAAAGTTTCCGGGGTTTAAATATTCTTTACAAAATTCTGAGTGCATTAAAATTAAACCACCGCACCGGTAGAAGAATCGGGAACAATGTCTGAATCAGTTCACCAGTTTATAGAGAGAGAGAAAGAGAGAAAGAGAGAGAGAGAGAGAGATGGATATAGTGCAAGGGTCAGTTCAATATGCACTCAATTTGCAACTGGGCACTTTTCGTTGCTTTTAAATCTATTGTGCAATACTGACATGTAATTGATTCAAATTATACTTATAAATTTTGTTCTATGAAATGAATTAAATGAATAAGTATTTGTACTGAGGGTATTTTTGTAAAAATCTACTAAAGAAAAATGTGTCCAAATAAAATAATGCCATATGTCCATACATATTTATCTTTCAAAGTTTTTACTACATTTACAGGGTGATTATTTCAATTTTGGATATTACTCTTCCTCTCTCTAAAATGCTTATAGTTGACAATATTATCAACCTTTCACTAGATAAGATCAAATACAAAATTGTAACAGAAATTTAGGAAAACCGTTTGTGTCGATGGGATGATGATAAGTAGTACCTATTTTTTTAAATTTTGTTGTCAATATTTGTTATTAAATATTTAAATGTGAGTATGAAGGTCCAACTTGGAAATTGTTACTATTTTTTAATTACATATAAACAACATTCTGATATAACAATTATTGGAAAAATTAAAAATAAAGCCACTTCACTCTTCAACTATTTAAAATTTTCTTATTTTCCGAATACCCTGTACATAAGAATGCTGACAAGCAAAAATTTTATCGAAAACCATTTTTCTCAACAAAAAATCCAAAATAAAAACTGATTATAATAGTTGCAATAAAGACCATTAAGAAATTCATCCACGGTAAATTACTAACTTATTTCTGCATATTAAGAGTTTTATTTATTTATTTTGTGAATTTGTTATCTGAACTAGCTTAATATTTTTATAATGAAGTAAAATGTATATCACTACTTGGCAAGTTTTTGGATCAGTAAGGATTACGTAGATTATGTTTCAAAATGTTTCAACCTCGAGATCCGGGATATTAAAATTAAAAATATATAAATAAATTATTTTATTCAAATTTGTGTGCGACTTTAGTATTACTTCAATAAATTTACGATTGCATTTTCTTTTTCTTTATTTTATCAAAGACATATCCAGA